GAAATTAATTCCTTAAATAAACTTTTAAAATCAACAAAATAATAACAAAAAAAAAGGAAATTTTGAATGAATGAATGGTCTGTGCTCTTCCTAACTATTTCTAGTTCAACATAATAAAGATCTTCACCGCAATGCTTTATCTCTTTTGGGATTTATCAGACAATTTAGATAAATCCAGTCTTGTTGGTCTTATTCAAGCTCTTCCATTAAGTAATTCATTAACGTTACATACTGCTGTCATAGAAATGTTCAAAACTAGCGATTTCTTTATATTTGCCACACACTAAATATTCCTGTCCTGTGTTGTGCTTCAAACAGATTTATGTGCCCCATGTATTATATCCATTTGACATCTACATGCATATCTGTACTGTGAAGTATGTATGAGACATAACATTAAATATCTAATTCCTGAGCTGTATTTTTGTGTTCTTTTTTTCGGTCACATGACAAGTGTCGATTCCCCCCATTGTCCATTTTGAAAAACATTTCAGCTCCTTATTTCATCTTTAGAAACAGAGTGGATGGCTAGGGGACACAAAATGGAGAAAATTCAGTCAATTTATATGAAGTTGACAAAATCTGAATGAAATCCCTGAAGATATGATGCCACAAAAAGGCTGGCAAGGATTTTCTAAAAATAGTAATTACCTTGACCCTACAACTCAGAAACTTTAACACATCCAGTTTACATATATATCATCCTTCATAACAAGTCTGATCAAAATTCCTCCAGGAATGAAGCCACTAGATTGCCGACAATGATTTTCTGAAAATAGAAGCAGTGACCTTGACCTCAACATTCTTTCTTACAAGGATTTTCTAAAAATGGGGCATGAAGTGGATACCTTTCAATCATTTTATATGAAGTTAAGTAAGTTTGTAGAAATCCCTCAAGGAATGTTGCTACTAAGAGAGCTGGAAAGATTTTCTAAAAATAGTAATGATGACCTTGATCCAATAGTAATGCATTTTTTAACATGTTTAGGATATTTAATCATTTTCAACAAACTCCCCTAAAAATCGAAATCAAAACAATTAAGACCAAGATCCAAGAAAAGAAATGGTTATCGACAGCCATGAAACTCCTACATCAGCAAATTTGGTTACGTAAATATGACAATTACACGACATCTTCTCCTTTCAGGCCCTCAACGGTGAGGGGATAATAACCACAAAGGATACAAAGCTATAATTAATCAGTGGGGTGTACAGACGAGGGTTTTGAACAAGTCTTAACCCTCTTATTTATTGCTACTGGAGTCAAGGATGCTAAAAGAGCAATTCACCATTTTTGCTTTATATATAGATAGAGCATTAGATGCAGGTTACTTGCTTCAATAAAGCCCAGTGTTAAAAAGGCAGCTGATATTAACAACTTCAACCGTTTTTCTGGGCCACAGGGATTATATGAGCAAATATTCAGCTTTAGAAAATAGCATGCTTGAATATTATTGTGTATATTTTTAGCTGGAGCTAAGAATAACGATGATCTAATACACTCTTGTACATATAAGAATTAGAACAATGCTTTATGGAATATGTATGCCCTTGCTCCCACAAAATATGAGCTCTGCCAAACTTGCTAAAACCAATCCTTTAATCTGCATAGAAATATTAAGTGAAAAGATATTTCCTGCAAATCAGGATTACCATCCAATCACTTTTAACAAATATCTTTGACCTACAAATACAAGATGCAAAGCATGTCCAAATTTCAGAAAAAAAATCTGTTTTGACTGCACAGCATTGGTAATTGATCTCTGCAAAACTTCTTCATTGTGACAGATGGGTGGAATAAGTGACAACACTTAATGCCTCTGTCCATCAAAAGACAAGTATAAGCAACTAAAAGAGTTAGTTGTCAAAATATTTAATTGACAAAAATATTTCAATGGCCTGTCTCCATAGGACACAGATTTACAACTGTAGAATCGCTGAGTATGGATATTTGGTCAAATATTTCAACAAGTCAACAGAATCTGAAATACACTGGGACATCAGTATCACAAGGTTCTTCACAAACAAAGGAAATAAAATGAAAGTCTTTGAAAATCTAACTTAAAAAAATGGTTTTCATTTCAACTTTTTGGGAGAAAACAATATTTTTATCAGTAAACAACAGAAAATTAACATATTCATTAACTTTTTAAAAATTTTGCAGATTTTCTTATTAAAAATGTCTCTGAATATTTATTTTAAAAAAAAGGAAAAAAGCTGATACAGTGCTATAATGATTCATTGATAAGCCTTTGAAATGAAAGAAATAATAATTTAGTGAACAATTTTATATCGTATTCAAAATAGTGATGAAATGAATTAAATATGCCATAAAAAACATTTTCCATGAAAAAATGGAAATTTGATGACGGTACAGAAAATACATTGATGTATGAAATTGCTATCAGGTGGCACTCATGGACACATGAATGCCTTCAGGATAAGAGCAAATTCAATGAAGTTTGTTGGCACTTCCTTCTGAATTAGCATTTATCCCACTGGTATTCACATTGCCCAGAAATGCCAACTTACAGTAGGTTCAATGCTTACAATTTTCAAACTGTTACAAGGGGAGTTATCACTTGCAATATTGACAAGTATGCTGTTGGCTATTTCCGAGCTGGCAATACACAGCTAATTTTGGTAAACTTACACTGTAGTAATGTCATACCATGGTAAGTATTATAATATGTTTACTGTCATTTTGAAACAAAACATTGTAATACCTTACCAGTTATTTAATATGCCCTAATGGCCGACACATGAAGTTTTGAGTACTGTGGGTGGGCTTATTGCAGAACAACAAAGTTATATGGTTTAAAACTTAGCTGAACAGTCTTAAAATATTGGTGGGCTTATTACCAGACATGGGCTTATTGTCGGGTAAACACACACTTTGTCTTTCCAAGTTAACATCAAGAGCAATAAATATAATATATAAACTTATATATACACAAACTTATATTCTCATTTATTCTCATAAAGCTGTATTGATGTAACTTTGCACCAATACAAACAACAGGCAACATGTATATGCTGTCCCCTATGTTTTCATATCATTATCTTACAGAATTCATGATACAAAATACCCCCCTATAAATATCTCTCCCCATATTACAGTATAAGGTACACTGGTTGCTAAGAAACAATTGCACATATCATAACTGGAAAAGCACCATGATAAAGTAAAAATTAATATCAAAACATTATTTCAAAATTTCAGTTGCACATGCGAGACAGCACATGGGCACCAGAGAATCCTAAATTCCTTACCAACAAAAAAGTATGGATGTCACATCAATAGGGAGTACTTGATGACATCAGTACATTTCAAGATTACAGAGTAATACTTTCAAAGTAAAAAAATGATAGATACTTTCCAATTACGTCCAGGTAATATCGAATGAACAGCATTTAAACAAATTGTTATCGAACATTTCCAAATGGCTGTGACTGCCTTAACTAAAACACACAAACATTAATGATCTAAAAAATCAATTTGACACTTTTGCCATCTTTATGACAACCTGACCCTAGACTTCAAAATTTTCTTTGTTAGGAAAATATTTTAGATCACTAAGCATGGTATCTAATTTTGCCTCCTTTTTGTTTCGGTTAGAAAATTAAAAATGCGTTTTCTTTAATACTTAATCTACAATAAAAAAAACCACCATCTGTTTAACCATAGGCATGTTCTCTCATGACAAGTCTGTGTAACTTCATCATGATTAACTTTCCATATAGAGTCTTCAGATACAACTCTTCACAATGTAAATTGAAATACAAATAATGAAACGTGACGTGTAAAAAAATTTTTTTTTAAACATGTGTAAAACGATTCAGTTACACACGTTATGGAATGATTCTGATTCTTATGGTAACTGCAGACATTTCTATTTGAGAATAGATCCCATCATCCTACCTGTATTTTGAAATTGTGACATTTCCATTTCTGTATACATGGGTAATATTTGAATCTGTCTACTTTAAACCTGAACCTTGCAGATCTGTGAATTTCTATGCTGTGATACTGAACCTTTATAGATGTAACCTCTTTGTGACTGTAATGTTGAACCTTTGCAGATACTTCACTATTTATTCTGTGATGTTGACAGGCAAGAAGTCCTCTATATTCTGTATTGATGGGATAATGACCAGATATAATCAATTCCCGAATTGTTTAACCTCATTTGATGCAATGAATGATCTTAATATTTCCAAATCAATCATTGGTACCAGGTTTTCACGCAATTTCTCAAATACAAAATTCATATGCATAATAAGAACTTTGATTGCCAATAATATGCACTTTAATGCAGGATGAGGTATTTTACATTAAAGTTACTACAAAACAAGAGATCCCAGAGGGATTTTGACGCCCACCATTGTTTGATTTCTCTATGCTCTTTCGTCTTTTCTCTGCTCTGTTTTTCTGTTAATGATAGGACGCTTGAACATTCCTCCACAGAAATAAGGAGGATAATATTTATTGGCCAAATCCAAACTGGCCAACTGAAAGTCATTTAGTTTCTTCTGATCAATCCCAAATTCAAATGAGCACAAGGAGAGACCAGAAGGAACATACTTATGAAATCTGAGAGATATCCATTCCGTATTTCTCAAGAATTAGCAATAACAATTTTTACTAGGCAAAATCCAAGATGCCATTTTTTTTCGATCAGGCCCAAAATCAAACGGGCACAATTAGTGACCAAGGGTAATCTGCATATGCAATTTGCGAAAGACCCATCCTATACTTCTCAAATAATAGCAACAACAAGAACTGTTTACAGACGAACAGAATGACAGACAAACGGACGGACCACGGATGCAGAACAATTTGAATAAAAGTCGCACAGATTTTAACCAATAATTGATTATTCATTTTAAGCGGTTTCCCTTCGTTAATATTCTGGTAACTTAAGTAAAAGATTCAAATTTGTAATAATAATAATAAATAATAATAAACATTATTTATTATACAACAACTGTGAATTTGTTACAAGCTACCCTTGTATCTTAGACCTTCATCAGCTCTGATAAATATACAAAATAATTTATGTCATGGTCTAACTATTTAATATATATATCTATCAAAAGCACAAGACCGTCACACACACATCTACAGAGACAAAGTCATCATTGCACATCAATATCATCATCTGTGACCTCAAACGAAGCTTCTGCCCCATCTTCTGTTACATCATCACAATCGATCATCACCATGGTCCCTCCTTCCATCATCTCTCCCTCCTCCTCTTCCACACTGCCACTGTGGTCTGAAAGACATACAAGATGGTTTTTAAAAAGGAAATTTCAAAACCATTCAAAATGTTGTCCACGGTTAAACAGCTGCTGCATATTTTTCAATTTGATAGAAATGAATTTAAAATCACACAACTTTATCAGCAGTTTTCAAAGAATCTGCAATAAACACTCATTTTCTATCCTTGTCGTTTAAAAGTCATTTATCATGGCATTAGTTTATTACTTTGATTTTAGACTCCCGACAACACTTCTACATATTGCTCTATCCCAATGCCCTAATGTATATAGCAACATCAATTTCAAAAACCCAAACTCACTTTTATTGACTAATATTAAGTATCTGTATTCAGAATTGACTTTTGAATAAAAAAAAATATGAGGCGGCTAGTAATGTTATGATCAGGGTAGTAAAACTTTGTTGACCCCAGGCCCTTTTGGCCCTTTTGGGGTAGGGACTGTATAATTCACAATTTTGGGTTTCTGCAAAATTTCAATAAAATCTGATCAGGGACTTCTCAAAAGAAGACAAAATGTTTCATTGCTGATGGACCAACGACGCGTGATGCTGGATAAAGGTGATTGCAATAGGTCACCACGTGACCTAAAAATGTGTTGTAATATTTACCTACATTTGCACTGCTTTCTTGTTAAAATATGTTGTAATATATACCTAGACCAGCATTCTTGTTAAAGTGTGTTGCACAATTACCTAGATTTGGACCAGTTTTCTTACTCAAGTATGTCGGACACTGACCTAGATTTACACCAGCTTTCTTGTTAAAGTTTGTCTTACACTTACCTATATTTGGACCAGCTTTCTTGTTAAAGTGTGTCTTACACTTACCTATATTTGGACCAGCTTTCTTGTTAAAGTGTGTCTTTCGATGTTTTGACAGGTGATCACTCCTCATAAATTTTTTCTTGCATTCTTTACACTCAAACCTTTTCTCTCCTGATAAAGAAAAGATGACAATAATCAAATACATTGTCTGGAATTCATGATTTCTCTAAAGCAGTTAATTGTTTTCTGTTATGATCTCCTGACCCCAGGTCTAGTGGTTTTATAAGTCACAGTCAGTAAAAGTATTTCCCCCCATATTTCAAAAACAAACATTCTGTAATAATAATCAAACTTTGGGTATAGTGCCTAAAAATCTGATGATCAAAGACAATTTTAATTGGAAATGGGGTCTCATCATCATTTTCAAATAGTGCCCATAAAAAGCAAGGTGAAAATGCCAGGGATTAATTTCTAAACAAATGTGTGAAGACAATATTTTTCTTAATAGATCATCACAAGTTCTCAAATGGTCAACTTTCTACTAATGTCTGCCTGGCCATTTTATTTTTCTGATCAGTCTCAAACTCACACAGGCACAACAAAGGACCTAAAGGAACCAACACATGAAATAATGATAACAAACTTGCAAAGTCTAAATCCAAGATATCCGCCTTTCAGCCATTTTGCTTTTCTCATCAGACCTAACATTGAATGGGCACAACTAGGGACAAAGGGGAATCTACATATGATATCTAAGAAAGATCCATTCAGAAATAGCGATAACAATCATTCAAAGTCAAAATACAAGATGGCCGTCTGTCAGCCATTTTGTTCTATGGTCAACTAGGCACAACTAAGGACCAAGGGGAACCTTCATATGAAATTTAAGAAAGATCCATCCAGTACTTCTCAAGAAATAGTGATAACAAAAATTGTTTATTGATGGACAGATGACGGATGCAGAGCAATGTGAATAGCCCACCATCATGATGATGGGCTACCAAAACATATCTCCAATAAGAATTGGGAAACATGTTAAAACATCGAATAGCAAGTAGTCAAAAAAGACCCATGGTGGATCCCACGGCGAAGGTCTACTTAAACTTAAACCTGTTTGCCCTTAATAAAATATACGTCATCAAAGACTAAACAACAATTGGTTTGCAAATCCAAGAAATAATCTAGAATTGGTGTAAAATCGAATATCATGCCTCTAGGCCTTTTAGTTCAAGAGAAGAAGTTGTTTAAAAGTTTTAAGATATCTGACCTCTGTGAAAATAGGTCAAGGTCATTTCTTTTCGCAAACATTGTCAGGCATCATCCTAGGAACATAACAGCCAAATATCACACCACAGCATTATCTCATTTGGCCTTTGTTCATAGTAATTGAACATTTATGTGAAAGCTACCTGCCAGTAAAGACATTTTTGCTGCTCCTTAGTAACCTTTAGACAGGTTTGCCTGCACACTACTTGACTATTGTTCCGTTGCATAACTTTCTTACTGATATTGGTTAAGTTTTACCATTTGACAACACAGTAACGTTTAAAAAAAATACCTGTATGTGTTCGCTTATGCCGCTGTAGTTCATCAGAGCGTGTAAATCGTTTCCCACAAAACATCCAGTTACAAACAAAAGGCCTCTCTCCAGTATGCCACCTGTATAATATATACATAAAACATATTTCACCACTATTTCTGATAATAGTCACTCATAAGATATTCTTTTTACATAACTCATTTCCAGATATGAACTGTCCGATTCTTTATAACGTACATGTGGAGTTTATTACTTGACAAACTTCGTTCAGTGAGAATAAAAAATAAATTGAATATAATGATTTGTTTAGAAACAAATTTCAGAAATGAAACATGATCCTAGAAACAAATTTCAGAAATAAAACATGATCCTTTTAAATAACAATTTCCACCAGAAAACCTGGTCTGTGTGGCAGTTCTTACCGTAAATGAGCTCGCAGATGAGATGTTTTACCATACACTTTTTTACAACCTGGAATATGACATATGTGCTGCTTCTTCTTGTTTTCTCCAGTTCTGAAACAAAATACCACAAAGATGAAACATTGGTATTAATTTAAATGAGAATTTCTTAGCAATACCTCCCCCTTGCCCCCATTTTTGATCTCTTTTTTTTTGCTTTGAATTAGGATTATCAGAATTGCACTTTCATTGCACACAAATAATACAAGTAATTTCTGTGCATATGAAAGAACCTTTACAAAGGAGTACATAAAATCAAGTTCAAATTCAAGAGAATATAATTTCAAAATTAAATCCAGTGAAAATATCCAAGAAAATATATTCACTTTGGTCAATCTTCATTAATACTTTGTCGTTATAGGTTTGACTCATCAAAACAAATCCTACAGATGCACCACAACAATGTGATACAAAAATAAAAAATCCCACCTTCCTCACAACAAATAATGCCCTGCTAAAGTCTTATAGATGCATGTGCCAATGTAAGATACAAATTCTGTTTCTTCAGCTTCTTTAAGTTTAACAATAACTTTCATGAAGACAAGGATTCTTTCCTTCTACTTATTGGGAAAATAACTGTTTAAATTTATTTCGGTAAATATCATTTACCTCCCCTCATTGTCTGTACAGTTGGGACAGGTACAAGCCACTCGACGTAGACGACGATTAGAGGTTACGCTCTGTTCCCCGAGTACAGATACACCCTGTTGGGACACCTGAGATGGACTCAGAGTCACTGCGGCTCCCTGTGAGGTCTGCACTACCTGCCACTTTGTTGGATCATTGGGATCCTGTTGTATTTGCTGACCAGCAGCTGTCAAAATGGATTCACAAGGTATATGTACAAGTAATGATGACAAATATAGGGATATATAACCACTTCACACTTCAGAATTCAAAGACAAATATGGTTAACTAAGGGTTATATATGCAGGGTTTTCCATAAGAGCCGGTTGCTGGCCAATTTGACCTGCTACACCAATCCAGTTCCGTAATAATGTTCCGTACACAACTACACGTACACGGCAGGCCAGCCTCCTACTTTCACTACACAGCCTACTACCAACAAAATTATGGAAAACCCTGTATATGATGACTAAATAATTTGGGGTCCAGCAGAACATTCCACATTTTGAAAACCTATCCAATACAAAAATCTTACTCGTAAGATTCTTAAAGACCCTTGGAGGTTAAATTAAAATGTAGATAATTTTCATCTTGGTAACATGAAACTTGCACTCTTAACCAAAGTATATTCATTGAATAAAGCTAATTTCATATCATACCTGCCGGTCAGAATAATAATAGGTAGAAATATTTACCAATCATCTGCGAAGTTCCAGTTACAGCTTGTCCTGTTGGTCCAGATGTTAGCTGAGCGACATTCTGTATCGTTGCAGTGAACTGCTGCGGACTTTGTTGCTGTTGTTGTTGTGCGTTTCCTACTGCGTTAGCAACCGTTAAAGCCCCCGACGGTGTCAACGTCACAGCTCCCATGTTTTGAACATTCCCAGTAGCTATTAATTGTCCTTGAGGCGTTAATTGAAAACCCTGCAATCCCTGAACATTTTGCACTGCCTGTATTCCTTGGATATTTTGTATAGACTGTAAATTCGGAACCTGTATTGTCTGCATGCTAGGAGCACGTATATTAGCCACATTTAAAGCAGACAACCACGGATTCTGAGCAAGCACTTGATTCTGTCCTGCAAACTGAAGATTTGTAAAGTTTTGTGATGGCAACGCCTGAACGGTGATCTGTTGAGGGATTGCTTGCACTAATGAAGGTTGTTGTTGCTGTGTGGATGCCACTGTTGTAGTTGCAGAAGTTGTGGTTGTAGAACTTGTCGCACTCTGTTGCGGCATTGATGCCACAATAACATTTTGTCCATTTGTTCCTACACTCTGCGACATCGGTATAACTTGACCGGTTGCAGTATTTAAAAAGTTAGTACCTATTGGTACCAAGGTTGGCATTTGTGATAACATGTTCGGTGTGGTTGGTGTTGCAATAGGGGTACCAAATGTACCTGCAGTCATAATTGTCCCAGTGTTATTTTGCTGCGTGGAATGAAGCACTGGGGTAGTTGTCACTTGTGATGTGACAGTTTGGGACTGAGGAGTTGAAGGTTTGCCATTATCAGGCTGGGATTTCCCTGCGGTTACTGATGTGGTAGCAGCAGCAATTTCAATAAGTTGGGGTTGAGCTACCTGTGTAACCTGCTGGTTCTGGTTCACTGGTGTTGTAATTTGACCATTAGGGCCCTGTCCTACCGCAGTGGTTGTATTCACAGACAGTGCCTGTATTTGAGGGGTAGCTTGTTGCTGACCCTGGGGAAAGGCCATTGGAAACCCCTGCATGGTCGGGAGCTGAATAGTCTGGTATGTAGACTGGCCGTTTGTGGTTGACACGGGGATTTGTATGAGGTTCGACATCTGTTGAACCTGTTGCGGCATCTGGACCGCCTGTACAACACCATGTGGGCGGGTCTGCAGCCCTTGTACGCCCGCTAAACTTACGACATTTCCACCAATGTTTACCATATTTCCCGCCAAATTATATCCCATATTTGGAATCATATTCCCCGTGGGTAGCCCCTGTCGAATAATTTGGCCTGTGGGGGTGGAAAACACCTGCTGTTGATTCCCAGCCAGGATTGCTTGACCTCCGCCCACCCCAGATGACGGAATAAAAATAGCCTCTTGACCATCCACGTTGACGGTCTGGAATTGCGGTATAACCGAAGTAATGAGCTGAGGTTGTGCCCCAGTCGCTTGAATGGGAATCCCAATAGTCTGTTGTTTACCACTAGCGTCAACAATAGTTCCGTTTGCCAGTTGTATCCATGTCGGGGCTACGGCACCTTCTCCGCTCCCCTGACCAATTACCCTGACTTGTGTCCCTCCTGTTGGGTTGTTCCCTTCTTCCGTGGGCGTGGGAGGGGGTGCCCCGATCTTACTACACGTAGCGGCTAGTAGAGCTAAGGGGGACGGTTGTACCTCCTGCAACAAGGCGGGGTTAGTTTAGGGGTGTGAATAACAATGGCGTTCGAAATCATCAACACGAAAAACACCACACGAAAATCGAAGAAAAACATAATTTTGTCACGTACCTGGGATGAACTGGATGGTACAACATATTCCTGATTGTTCCGTCTCGAGGTTACCGATGTCATATATCCTACCGATTTTGGTTAAAACATAAAAATTATGAATATTCGAGGCGGAATTAGACTGAAATGGGCAGTGAACAAAGACTGAATGCGAATGCGTGCCCCGGCCGTGGCTTCCGTCCAAATTCGACGTCTGGACGTATTTCTACGCCGCACACAATCAAAATTTCTCTACCATACGTTTACGTTTATCTTCCATAGATAATCGAATAATTGACATTAACAAGTTTCATGATTCATATATATTCATTATGTAACACTCTACAAAGTTATAGGAAAACGTTTATTAAAACCCTTTTGTGATCTCTCCAGGACTCATTTCCTACGCGTGATATTGATTTCTGAGTGGGTGTGGTGACGCGGCTCGTGGCGTGTTTAATGTCGTTTTGATTGACAGGTGGGCTATCAAGGGAAGGCCAACTTCAAAGGAACTTCTTTTCCGGGCATGTTAATTAGGTGACCTCGTGTGAATGTCAACAACTGATAGCTATTATCACACGGATAACGTTATATATACCGATATACAGGACCACTGTCTGCATCGACGGTTAAATGCAAATGTTCATAGAATGTGGATCTTGTAATGAAAATGTCAGAATCAACGACATGCATTACGAGACACTATCGGCAGAAATATCGATTCCGGCCTACATGGGGTGTGGCCAAGATTGTTTCCGGTACATGAGGCCTATTTAGGGAGTATCGCATTTGTCTTATTTATTTCATACGGAATAGAATATTTTATATAGATACATTTTTCACCATTTTAGTTAAACGAAACCGATCGGTGTATGGCCAGGTGTATTTGAAGATATGACAACGAGAAAGACTTTGAAAATAACAATTATTTTTAAATTGGCACACCTTTCGTGGGCCCTAGCAAGGCGTCGACCGTAAGCAGATAAGTGTTGTATAATCCGACTTCAAGGGGGTGTGACCTCTCGCATTTTACTTTTCATAAGCTGCGCTTGACAAGACTTTTGGATTAACCCAATACATGTCTGAATCAACGACGAAAGCTATATAGGAGGCCTAGTATCGTTTCCCAAAAAACGTGTCCCAGAATCATTATCTTTATGCACAAAGGACTTGTATGAAATTTTGTTGTCACAGGAATGTACACATTAGTCTCAAAACATTAACAATTTAAGACCGTGTTATGGCATTAATTTATGATAAAGTATCTCCAAGGTCATTGATTATTAAGAAAATTTTATTTAATCAATATCAAATGACATTTTTAAAGTTATAGAATAAAAATATGCTTAGAAAATGACTGGTGTTGTCCCAATCACTTTCGTATTTTCTTTCTGTCAATATTTTTTAGTTTTATGTGTATCGACCACACCTCTCGCAGAACCCACCCACCAATAAAGGCCTTGTATAGTTCAAACCAGACAACAAATGGAAAACATTTCCAATACAGAAACCTTATCTAAGACATCACCGGAGCTAGAATATCTTATTTTCATTATTTCGTGACGTATAAAGTATTTCCACATACCATCCACTAAGACATATTTTTATTGTGAAATTAAAGATTGTTTTTGCTTATACTCCTCTTTATCATTTTATTTTTATCAAACAATTTTAGTTTTAAACATAATTTATTACCGAAATAAGCTTTAAAAACAGGGCACAAGTTTCAATAATTATACCAAAGCCCTTTCCTATTGACATATATACATACATACCTACATATATAGCAGAAGAAGGCATAATTAGATTTTATTTTATTGATAGTAAGCCAGTGTCAATACATGCATACCATCAAAACTGTCATTTATACCAATAATTCTTACAAAATTATTTCCAATAAAAACTGCAATTTTTATTTAAAAAAAAAAACAACATATTCACGTTAATCTCCCCCATGGAGTAATGTAAGATCCATTTTGGTAAAGCACCTGAAGATGTTTCCATCCATGAAGAGCATTTGATACTACAATATCTGGGCGTTGAGAGGAAGATTTCAGAAATCTGGGTTATTCTGACCCCGCCCATCAGTCCCTTGGGGTCGTTCAAGATCAATATGGGTATGTCATTAAGCCGTCATACTTTGCTCAGTATTTTTACCAAGTTTGAAATATTTCCGATGGAATTTAAACAAATTACGCACAAAAAAAAATTGTTTTTCATTTATGAATTATAGTAAACTTGACCCCTTACCAACGGGAAAATGTGAGACCCCGGGGCCATGAAATTCACAATTTTGGTAAAGCACCTAAGATGCTTCCATCCATGAAGAGCATTTGACACTACCATATTGGGCGTTGAAAAAATTTTTGAAAGGTATGGTTTCAAAATGTCCTAAGAATTAAATACAACAGCTTGTACGTGCTATGGGTAGCTTCTGTAGACATACATTTATAAATAGACATTTAAGTCCAAACATGTACCTACGCAAGATTATATGCTTTTGTGCCAAAATGAAAACAAAATGTCTGTGTTTTTATGGAAAATGCTGCATTATAATTTCTTCATTTTTTTGCGAAAGCTAAATATGAACAGATATCATATGCAAAGGAAGAAGTCACACTTTTGAATATATTGGGAACAGGAGATAAAAATGTGATGGATTTTGAGGACTGAGAACATTATATTTTTAGATTAAGCGACATTTTCTGAAGGTCAAATATCAGAGTCCATTCGCAAGTATATGTTCATCTTCAAAGAGTGTCAGATAAATTGCCCAAAATAGTAATTGGGAGTTTTGTTCAAAGTAATTAAACTGATTGACAATATTGCTATGTATTATCAAGGTAAAACGACCAAAGGGGAAATCTGTTTCGGATCGCAGTATTGTATAGTGAACTGAAATAAAATGTTTACATTTAGTTTTATTAGTACAAAGTGACTGTCACCTCATCTTCGCGAGCCAAGGCCACTTAGTTTCACGGTCGTGAAACTAAGTGGCCTTGGCTAGCGAAGATGCTGTCACCTACACTTGTAACCCACTAAAGTGAAATTTCCACTTTCAAAATGGCCGTCATGTTCTCTGATAACCACAAACATTAGATATTTTGCAACTGCTGAATAAAACCATCTTACCTGGAATCCAATAAGGTTTCTTCATTCTAGAATCTGATTGGCCATATCAGAGTTGGTATACATCGTACAGTAATGTTGTTCTTGTTGTCCCAGTCGAGTGAAGAGACGACAAGTTGCGGAATCTACATTGCATGTATAACTTCGGAAAGTCACAATTATCCGCAGTAGCATCTAGTTTGAAAAATAGTGACTTGGCCCTCCTAGTAAGATCTGGCTTGGGGTGTAAAGAACAATGCAATAGAGGATGAACAATAATAAAGAAACTGTGCTCTTGTCCAACCAGACCATGTGATATCTCCAAAAGATCATTAGTGATTTCCTTTGATGTGAAAGGTAGCTGGGAAGTCAACATTTCTCTTTCATCATTGCGGGTTTGAACGTTAGGGTTAAGATCTATCACTACGAGGTGTTGAGAACAAGCACGTGAAGACCATGGACACCACAACCTGTGATGACAGATGAATTGGGGTTTTATCAACTAGGGCAACATGGTCGAGGTTTGATTGAAACTCTTCATACATAATGCGCATTTTGCGTGGGATGACTGGCCGTAAAATTGATCCTCTATGGATAATACTGGGATGTTACGCTACATGTTATCATCAACACCAACGTTTTGACCTTCAGGTTGTGACTTTCTATTCTGATAATTCTTAAAACGCTTAGCATACATACCAATCTCTTGATCATCAATAAAGTTATTGCCGTCTGCTTTTAAAACATCCAACAACCAATTGTGCTGGGAAATCCGACATTTCTGACAGGTTTCTTGGTTTTAATGTCTCTCCTAAAGGCAACTTTACAACCCGCACCTACAGATCTACCATTCTTTGTGACAACGGTACTGTATTAGGCGTTGAAAGTCTACTAGAAAATAATGTCATATGAACAATTGACGATATTGGGGTATATAATATAATGTTGGAGGATTTGTATAAAAATTATCGGTCATATAATGTATTTAACGTCCTAATTGTAACTGACAGATATAGTCATTTTAGGACACGTCGGCATTACTTGTATGCGTGCTAGGGGTTATTATATATGAGGAAAGACACACGTTTGGAGTGTAACAGTGTGGTCCCCTATGTCCACTATCGTTCAACAAGTCCTTTTGGCGCCACACACCAAAAACAAAAATGACACTTTGCACGAATGGTGAAGTTTCCATCTTTGGGCAATATTACAGTAGGAGATAAATATATGTTAAATAATTTTGAATTGACTGAGTATAAAGGACATCAAATGTAATTTGCTCACAAAATTGACGTTTTCCTCACACAATGCTTAAAATATCAATGATATTGGATGTATACTCATTGTTTTAGTATTTTGGTATTTAGTTTATGGTTTGAACTTTCCTCTATTGTTAAAACGATTATTTTTTATTCGTTTTGCGACAATCGGTGTTCATAGTTTAGTAATTTAGTTATATAATTAGTTAATTAGACAAATGCGTCATTGGTTAATTTCAATTAAAAGGACAGCTAAGGGAACCAACTTTGATGGTACAATGCAATGTATGGGTGAGTGGTCTCAAAGAGTGAAAAAATCTTTAGTCTGACCACTATGGGAAATAAGCATTGCTGAAAACCCTCATTATGATTAAATTTGAATTTTGGCCCAATCCGTGGAATCGGGACCGTATGATTCACTATTTTGGTTCATCTTGGGCAGGGGAAGGTTTCTGGAAAATTTCATTGAAATTGGTTCATAGGTTTTTGAGAAGAAGTTGAAAATGTATAAAGGTTAAGGACGCATGGTGCCAGACAAAGGTTATCCAATCGGTCACCATGATACTTTGTGACAAATGACCTAAAAAGTGAGAAAGATTGAACAAAAATACACCATAAGACAGCAGAGATGTTGTCAGTATGAGGATATGAGCATTTTTGTTTGTGGCAATATTTGTTAATTTTTTTCATTTCATTTAAGATTTATATATTTGGGAGGGAGGACTGGGGGCAGTTTTGTTGAAAGTCATGCAAGGTCCTTCATCTATAATGTCACAATAGTGTTGTTAAAGGCACATAATGCAACAATATGATATAATTACAGGTAAGTTTAGGATATATAATCACAGGTAACACAATGCTGTGAGCAACAGCTCTCTGATGCAGTCTAATCCATTCCAGGTACTACTAGTGAATGCTAAAATTGTATTGAAAGGTGCCATTCTCTTGTGCAGCAGTCCTTCAAGAATTTCCAACACTGGCCTCACATTGATTGCCTCACCATATTTACAGGAGTTATTGCTAACGATTAAAGGTAATTATTTGATAGCAATGCGTCATTCTGATAGACAGGTATCAAAATATATTGAAATACAAGGGGATATTTGAAAACCATATTGGAAAAGTCAGTTTAAAGGAAAATGTCTATTTAGCTTCATAAACTATTGAACAAAGAAAAAAACAATCTGACTGTATTTTATTACAGTGAATGGAAGAAACTAGAAACAAGAAAGAAAACCCATTTTCTTGAATTGATTTCAATTTATTTCAATTTACTACATACATAATGGCATCACATAATTTCAGGTTTGTAATAATCCATTATGTTCATAATTCATGCTTTCAATCTGTACATTTAACTACCTGGTAATGTGTATTGAGAAATTACAAATGGCCACCACGAGACACATCTGTAAGTAAATATTGATAACTTCAGGATTTACTTTATGCCATTTAAATATCCAACAGATTCCACAAGTTGTACCCCATTCATTTAGCAATACTTCAAACAAACAAACAAACAAACAAAAATAGTAATAATAAATAAACTTGTATGGTATTTCCAATAACACCAATCCTTCACTTCTTTCTCAAGTAGCAAAGTATGAATGAAATGGTTTCATATTTTGCACTCACACTTGAGACAGTGGAATTTGGAATAATTTGTAATTTTGAGCTGTGGAATATTGTCCAGTGTTCTTGTAAAGAAACAGACATGACACGATAAACTATAAACAGATGTAATACTAACCAAAAGTAACCAATACACTTTATCAGTTAAAAACAACCATCTTCTCCACATTCTCTGCAGTTTCAAAAGAACTGAAATTTGACAGAATCTAACTTGGGTCTGCAAGAATATTTATGTGTTGACAAAATTTGCCTAAAGCGTGTTCAATTTACTTTCTTATGGGTTTCAAGTAATTTCTACTGGCAAATAGTAGCCAACCCATAGCACATGAAAATAATATTTTACTGAAACCGGTGACGATATCACGTCGGTTACATATATTAAGAGTGAAATCCTTGGATGTGTTAAATGCTGCAGGACAATACATAAACTTTATCATCAAAGCAATGATATACAATAGTATAGTACAAAGATTTTTACAGCTGTTAAAAGCAAATTTTATTTCTTATTTTCACCTTCCATTCTGATACTAACTCCAGAACACTTTTGACTGTAGAAGTTTTTCTCAGCAAACTTTTTTTAAGCATTAACTCATTTTTTTCTGTTTTTCTTTCACAACTAAAACATGAAAACTGAGTGCACTTTAGCATCCCAAGGAAAATAATTAACTCATGATATTGAAAAAAGCAGATTTGGAACTGAAACACTGCATGTAACACAAAGATGGGAAAACTGTTGAAAGATCCTTCAAACAGGAAAATATCCTTAAAATATATAGTATCCATAATTCATAATAAAAGAATTGCAATGATTCCAGGATTTGATATCGAAATTGTTGAGAATTTTTGGCTGTTAATCACGATCTGGTCCCCTCACAATGACAGGGTATATGGTGTAAGACTTCCACATCCTTCTCAACTGCCTTGTCACACATACATGACACTTGTATGCTGTGGTCCTGAAATTCAACTGCAGGCAGTGTTGTCATAGTAACTAAGGCAATGAAGAAAGGAATCCTTAAGCAGCTGGAATATTTGATAATATCTTTCACTTCTTTTTTTTGTCAGATAATCCTGCTCCTGCGTTGAATTTAAATAGTATGATGTCGCCGTCTTCCACCATATAGTCACGACCTTTCTGACGATACTTTCCATTGGCCTAAAATCAAAGGGCAGAAGTTGTATGGGAACATAGTCATCTACTCCTATATCTAATAGGGTCTACCAAACAGAAGAATGGAAAGATAAAATTTAGTAATCTCACATCAAATGACCAAACAAATACAATTGTAGATGTCATTAGATGCAAAGGGAAAACTTTCCAAAAATGTACTATCTGTCCCAATTTTGTTTTTAGATATTTTCAATATCATTGACCATGTTTACATTTAACGAACTGTTTTGCAGCCACAATGTCATGTTTTCTCGTCAACAAATGAGTTATAAAGTCAACAGTAAATTTTAATCAATCACCAATTAGACTACATTTACCTCAAATCAATTTTCGTTGACAAAGCTGTTTACTATTAATCTAAGATAGCCTGTCATGCAAGAATGTTTACAATGATAATATTTCAATTGGTGCACTGTACCGTAACATGAAATGATTCCCTTAATATGATTTACCATCAACATTTACCTCACAATATCAGGAATATATAGAAATATCTTAACAATTGGCCTGATAAAATCAACCAGGGAGACAAATGAAGATTTCAATTTTTGCTGGTGTTATACTTTCTTTGTAGGTTGAAGCATTGACATCTCAACTTTCTATCAAAGGTAGTCATTGACTGTCCTATTTATCATGTATTATTTATCAAATTGATTATTTTAGGCGTTGCTAACAAAACCAGTTAAGAATTGTTTTCATCATTATCATGGGGATTTCTCACCTTGCATTCACTTTCAGATCCAAATTCTTTGAAATCTGCATAGTTCATCACTTCAGCCATGATAAAGCCTTTCTCAAAGTCAGTATGGATTCGTCCAGCTGCTTGTGGGGCCTTAGTGTGTTTCTAAAAACAGAAAAAAATAGTTTGCGCTCATCTTAACCATTCAACTGGTTTTTGTACTTTTAAATTACAAATAAATTAAGCTATAAATCTGATAAAATTCATTATCGGATCATTTCAACCGACAAAAGGGAGTTTTTTTATAAATAGTTTATACAAAATTAATTTCCTTTCACCTAACAATGCTTAAGACAAAATATGGACAAATTTCAATCATTCCTACAGGAAGAGTAGGATTTTTAAATGTTTACTCCCTTTCCCCTTCGGACCAGGTGGGCTAAAAAAAATATATATATTAACATTTATATCAGTTTCCATAGGCTGTGTTCACATTAAAGTAGAGAAAACTCTAAATTACAAATCAATGTTGTAGCAATAGCAGCAATAATGAAATGATTATATTATACATACTATAGAAATTATGCTCGAATTTCATAACTACATTCAGAAATGATGACAGGAGTCCTATTACAAGTGATAACATACATGTATTGTCCATGCTTTGACTTCATCCTTCCCACTTGTGAAAAAGTACACCAAATTGAGTGCCTTGTAACCATTGACGATGATTTTGTCTAGTGCACTGAAAATAAAAACACTTCATCTCAAGACACATTTCTCCAATGATTGCTCATTAATCAGAAAAAGCCTGACTGGCAATGAACTTAACGTATCAGTTCAGACAATGTTTGGACAGATTAGAATTTATTTTAGACAGTCATGAGACTAGCCATATTATTTTCTTGTCTTGCATCAGTGTAGTTAGCCTTTCATCCCAACAAGCTACTGGCTAAATATGATGACCCTGGGTCATTTGGTAATTAAAGGTATTGTTAATAGACTTTAACATATTTGACCCCTGTGACCTTGAAAATAGGTTGAGATCATTCATTTAAAGAAACTTGGTAGCACGTCATCCCAACATACTACTTTCCCAATACTGTGACTCTGGGGCTTTTAGTTATTGAGAAGATGTGGAAAATATAAATTGTTTATAACACATAATTGATGATGCACGACACCAGACAAAACATAATTGCAATTAAATACCATGTTTTTGTATGTAGCGCATCATTGTACATGAAAATACACTATTCAGAATAAAACTTCTTCTTGAAATCTCAAAAATTGCAAAATGTCTTTTAAGAAAAGTTCATTGGTTATGTGTTATCATTCCTTGAATGAGCACTTTTCCAATGTGTTATCATTCCTTGAACACCTTACAAAACCTTTCAAATGTTTGGTTGTTATGTGTATAGCGATGAAACCAGTCAACTATTTATCAACCAACACTAAGTGATTAATCATTTACAGGTTTTTCCTGTAATAGACCCTTAATTCATCACAGTGTGTGACTTCATCAATTCTTTATGAATGCATTTATCTTGAAATATACTAGAACTCTTAACCCAAAATACGGGGTAAGTTATTACAGGACAGTGCTATAGAAAATTTGCCTAAAATTTCTACTGAAACTGCATTGTAGTATGAGTGGGCCTATAACCAGGCAGTGAGCGTATAATTGGATTGATATAAAATTCTACCTGACGATTTGGTGCTCCTTGAGGTAAGCTTCCTGTTCATCCTCAGCCATGTCAATCAGTTTAGACTCCAGTATCCCACTGAACAGGATCACAATGGAACCCTTGTCATTAGCATCAATCCATTCCTTTATTTTCACTAACCTGACATAAACATAATCAATAAAAATAGTTATTACAAGAATTTGAACAAAAATATATGCATTTCACATAGATATTTTAATAATTTAGAGCATTTATTTCTCCATTTTTGAAAGTAAGTCATGGAACTTTATTTGAACAAACTTCAAAGGCCTTCATTCTAACAAGTGTCTCGCCAATTATCTGGACTCTAAGCCTGCTGGTTACTGACAATAGGTTGATTTTATGCATACTCTTAAATCCATGAACTTGGATGCCAATAAAATGACAAACAGTAAAAAATTCATATGTATTTCTAACTCTAGTGATTTTAGTCAGAATTAATATTCATAAGATCTCAAAAGCGACTGCAGGGATAAAAAAAAAAAACCCAAAAAATTTTAAAGTCCTATGAAAATAAATAATCTTTCGGTTTATTATTTTATTTTATTATTTAATTTGCAGGGTTTCCACACACAAGATCATAGGGACAGGACACTGATATTTGTCAGTGAGACAACGCATAGAAATTGGACAAATCGCGAAGACTTTAACCAATCAAACGACCACATACAAGATCAAATCCACACTCCCTCAGTAAGATCACCATAAGTAAAAGTAACAACATGATAATGCTTTAATTGTACTTACCATTTATTCTTTTTTCTTGTGTAATCTTTTTCTGATAAATTCACTAGATATATGACAGGTTTGGAGGTCAGGAATAGGTGTCCATTTAAGATCTCAATCTGAATATCAGGAAAATAAACAGATAATCCATTAACAAATATTATTTCTGTGATGGAAACCATCATCCAGTTACATACACTAATAGGAACAAGGAAACACAACTTTAACTTAACAGTTTAATAAATTAATATTTATACGCAATCTGCCTCAATTTGAAATGCAATACGTATTCAACCTCCAATATTGGACCATCCCTATAACAAATAAGGAATTCATCAATATACATAAAGTTGAAATAACGGCAGTAGTCAGACCGATCCCTAACAACATCTGTGTCCTCCCAAAACACTATAGCATTTCCAATTCTGTGCGACATGAAATTCATAAGGAGATTGACTTTTGTAGAGGATGATTATTCTATTCCGGTGGAGGTTATTTGGGTTGTTTGCTCAACTTGAAATCTTCTATCTAATTCATCCCACAATTGTTTCGTTGGGGAGATATCAGGGCTATATGGAGGCCAAACAATTGGGACAATATCCTGGGTTGTAGTCCCTACAAACTTTTGCAACTTGTGGTCTAATGCTATCAGACAGAAAGGTCAAAATGGTGCCTTAATACGAAAGGCAGTCTATTTCTCACAATTTCTGGTTTTGAGTTGATACATTGATTAACATTACCAATGGTGATTCAAGCCGTCTCGACTGCTACTAATCTCCTGTCATGTAAGCGGGCAAGCCTAATGAACCGAAATTGATGCCACGAAATTTCACCTGGATGTCTGGATCTTGGTCTGAATTCCGAAATGATTAGCGACCTGTAGTTGATTGCTACCTCGCATGAGCATTGAGGTGTATTTGTACAGTCATAGTATCTATCTCCTAACTGCTATTTCTGTCAGCAATATGGGGGATTACGGACAGACATATTGGGGGATCACAGACGGACATATTGGGGGATCACAGACAGACATATTGGGGGATCACAGACGGACATATTGGGGGATCACAGACGGACATATTGGGGGATCACAGACGGACATATTGGGGGATCACAGACAGACATATTGGGGGATGACAAACGGACATATTGGGGGATGACAAATGAGTATTGTTTTGGGGGATAACAGACAGACATTGTAGGTAGATGACAGACAGATGACATTATGGGTAGAAGACAGACAAACTGCATGTCTGTGTTACAGACAGGTGTTCTCACCTCTTTGTTATCCCATGAAGATTGTCGCACCCACTTGTCAGCATTGAGTACATCTCTGACCTTCACCAGACAGTCCTAGAACACAAAATATGAATACATTGAAATATTAAAGAGTAAAACTGGTCATATGCCAGACGACACAGATATTAATCTTGCATTCAAATGCAAATGCATTACAAACACAAGAAGAAGTAAACACCTTGGCAGAATTCAGTAGTTCCTGGAATCAACCTACATGTCATATGTAATGTCAATCATCAACCTACACATTAATAGAAAAGCAGACTAGTCCATATCATGTGACAGCCTACAACCTACACTGAGGACAATAAATCAACCTATATCATGTGACAGCCTACAACCTACACTGAGGACAATAAATCAACCTATATCTTGTGACAGCCTACAACCTACACTGAGGACAATAAATCAACCTATATCATGTGACAGCCTACAACCTACACTGAGGACAATAAATCAACCTATATCTTGTGACAGCCTACAACCTACACATCACTGAGGACAATAAATCAACCTATATCTTGTGACAGCCTACAACCTACACTGAGGACAATAAATCAACCTATATCTTGTGACAGCCTACAACCTACACATCACTGAGGACAATAAATCAACCTATATCTTGTGACAGCCTACAACCTACACTGAGGACAATAAATCAACCTATATCATGTGACAGCCTACAACCTACACATCACTGAGGACAATAAATCAACCTATATCATGTGACAGCCTACAACCTACACTGAGGACAATAAATCAACCTTTATCATGTGACAGCATACAACAACCTACACATCACTGAGGACAATAAATCAACCTATATCTTGTGACAGCCTACAACCTACACTGAGGACAATAAATCAACCTATATCATGTGACAGCCTACAACCTACACTGAGGACAATAAATCAACTTATATCTTGTGACAGCCTACAACCTACACATCACTGAGGACAATAAATCAACCTATATCATGTGACAGCCTACAACCTACACACCTATATCATGTGACAGCCTACAACCTACACATGAGGACAATAAATCAACCTATATCTTGTGAAAGCCTACAACCTACACATCACTGAGGACAATAAATCAACCTATATCTTGTGACAGCCTACAACCTACACTGAGGACAATAAATCAACCTATATCTTGTGACAGCCTACAACCTACACTGAGGACAATAAATCAACCTATATCTTGTGACAGCCTACAACCTACACTGAGGACAACAAATCAACCTATATCATGTGACAGCCTACAACCTACACTGAGGACAATAAATCAACCTATATCATGTGACAGCCTACAACCTATCATGTGACAGCCTACAACCTACACTGAGGACAATAAATCAACCTATATCTTGTGATAGCCTACAACCTACACTGAGGACAATAAATCAACCTATATCATGTGACAGCCTACAACCTACACTGAGGACAATAAATCAACCTATATCTTGTGATAGCCTACAACCTACACTGAGGACAATAAATCAACCTATATCATGTGACAGCCTACAACCTACACTGAGGACAATAAATCAACCTATATCTTGTGACAGCCTACAACCTACACTGAGGACAATAAATCAACCTATATCTTGTGACAGCCTACAACCTACACAGTAGCACAGTAGAAACACCTATATCATGTGACAGCCTACAACCTACACATGACAATAAATCAACCTATATCTTGTGACAGCCTACAACCTACACAATAAATCAACCTATATCATGTGACACTGAGGACAATAAATCAACCTATATCTTGTGACAGCCTACAACCTATATCACAGCCTACAACCTACACTGAGGACAATATCAACCTATATCTTGTGAATATATCAACCTATATAAATCAACCTATATCTTGTGACAGCCTACAACCTACACATCACTGAGGACAATAAATCAACCTATATCTTGACAGCCTACAACCTACACTGACAATAAATCAACTTATATCTTGTGACAGCCTACAACCTACACATCACTGAGGACAATAAATCAACCTATATCATGTGACAGCCTACAACCTACACATCACTGAGGACAATAAACCAACCTATATCTTGTGACAGCCTACAACCTACACTGAGGACAATAAATCAACCTATATCATGCGACAGCCTACAACCTACACTGAGGACAATAAATCAACCTATATCTTGTGACAGCCTACAACCTAGACTGAGGACAATAAATCAACCTATATCTTTTGATAGCCTACAACCTACACTGAGGACAATAAATCAACTTATATCTTGTGACAGCCTACAACCTACACATCACTGAGGACAATAAATCAACCTATATCTTGTGACAGCCTACAACCTACACTGAGGACAATAAATCAACCTATATCATGTGACAGCCTACAACCTACACTGAGGACAATAAATCAACCTATATCATGTGACAGCCTACAACCTACACATCACTGAGGACAATAAATCAACCTATATCTTGTGACAGCCTACAACCTACACTGAGGACAATAAATCAACCTATATCTTGTGACAGCCTACAACCTAGACTGAGGACAATAAATCAACCTATATCATGTGACAGCCTACAACCTACACATCACTGAGGACAATAAATCAACCTATATCATGTGACAGCCTACAACCTACACATCACTGAGGACAATAAATCAACTTATATCTTGTGACAGCCTACAACCTACACTGAGGACAATAAATCAACCTATATCATGTGACAGCCTACAACCTACACATCACTGAGGACAATAAATCAACCTATATCTTGTGACAGCCTACAACCTACACATCACTGACGACAATAAATCAACCTATATCTTGTGATAGCCTACAATCTACACTGAGGACAATAAATCAACCTATATCTTGTGACAGCCTGCAACCTACACTGAGGACAATAAATCAACCTATATCATGCGACATCCTACAACCTACACTGAGGACAATAAATAAACCTATATCTTGTGACAGGCTACAACCTACACTGAGGACAATAAATCAACCTATATCTTGTGACAGCCTACAACCTACACCGAGGACAATAATTCAACCTATATCATGTGACATCCTACAACCTACACATCACTGAGGACAATAATCAACCTATATCATGTGACAGCCTACAACCTACACTGAGGACAATAAATCAACCTATATTGTTCAATAACCTACAACCTACATATTCAGCTTTGCCCTGCTTGTTGCCACCCCTGACGACAGAACGCTCCAGTCCTTCTAGATGCTTGGTTAGGTACTCAAGGTCTTTTAGTCGGAGCTCGTTATGGATAATCTGTAAATCTCGAGCTGGGTTTACATCCCCCTCCACATGGACGATTTCTTCATCATCAAATGCACCTGTCATATTACATTTAATAAATTGTCAAAACCATTGAAAAAAAAAATGCTTGACAGGGGCTTTAATTGAAGATTTCCAAATTTGATATCAAAGCTGAGAAATATTGGTGTTATTTTGGAGTACTTTTTGGCTCTGACTTTCTTTAATCCTTGTTTCAAAACAAGGATTAATTGGTTTTCTTGTTCAAGTTTGTTTTTACATACAATGTCTGCATAGAAAGCCAATTACTATGTAAAAATTTAAAGGTAACTATGTATGCTACTGAAAATGGTCAATGTGTATGACGAGGTGATAGTGCATTGGACAATAGAATTTTTTTTATTTAGTGTAGGGCTACTTTAACTTATTTGATATCATTAAAGCATCCTATCAAATGCAGCATCTTCTTTGATAAAGATCTATTCAAAATATTATTTGGAACTAGCAGGAAACTTCAATTCTAAAAATTCATCAGCCATTTTGTTGTTTTATTGGTCATAAATTGGAACATGTACATCTAGGTCTAATGTATAAAATGCTGTCAAAACTGGAAAGCCATTAATCTGACACTTGAGTGGTTATTTTTGTTGTACCATTTGACCATGCAGGGTTCTCATACCCCATTTTGGGACTGGGGCCCGGGGCCCTTAGAATTGGGAAAAATAATGGTGTTTTCCTTAGAATTGGGAAAACTTGGGGTCTAAATTGGGAAAAAAAGATACTATTTTGCATTGGGAATGGGACTAAATATTGGCCCCAAATCTAGCAGATCGAGAGCCCTGCCATGTACTCTCAGTGCTTTGATAATCGGTCAAAACTTACTGGGTAGACGAAAAGAAGTTCCAAAATTCTTGGCATATCCAGCAATTCAAAAACATGAAATTCATATAATGAAACAATAGTTATCTAAAATAATTCAAAGCATGAAAATTTGAGGGTTCTCTAACTAAACTGTTTTGCTATTTTGTGCAAATTTATTGAAAAAAAAGGCAAGGATAACCTGCACTACCTGATGGGCTAAAAACAAATAATGACAATTTCCAAAAGTGCTTCACAATACATAAGCAAAGATCTTACGTGTCAAATGGAAGATCGCATCACAAGCGTTGATATTTGACAAGAAAGCATTTCCAAGCCCTTGACCTTCGTGGGCACCCTTCACCAGTCCTGCGATGTCCACTACATTTAAATAAGCTGGTACTTTGCTACAATGAAAAAGTCATGGTCATTTCTGAAGGCTTTTTTATCATTCTTTCAAATCAATTTAAATGAAGTAGGTTTTCAACCAAGATAACAAAAGAATATCTGTGAAAAATTTTGTATACAAGCTTAAGCAAAAAAGTTTCTGGCATTTTTGTTTTGTGCTAATTTTTTTCCCTTTTACAAACAATTATTTGAAATATGTATAATTAATACAATCTGTATTTAAAATGATTACTTGTATGATATATCTATGCTCATATGAAACCTTAACATGGTACAGTTTGTATAATCGGCCGTAAGACTTAACATAGTTTCATTTTCCATACAGTGATCATTAGTATGAAATGACTCTCTCTGATATATGTAAAGCACAGCATCTTTAAACAGCAATAAATGTTTGCTACAAGAAGTCAGACTTTGATAATGTGTTATCAACTTGATATATTTTACCTTGTTTTTAAAAAAAAATTCTTTCCTTCTTCATAGATCATATTTCGTTTCAGATTAACAATTTCCTTACTTACTTACACATGCTTCTGTACCTAAAATCAATTTTCACAGAGAACATATACTCAGCCTATATATCGTGTTACGTATTGAAAGTGTTTACCTTGCTGGAACATAGTGCTGACAAAGATGGTCAAATCTAGCATCTGGTACAGCAACACGACCTGCAAAATAGATAATCCTAGCGTCCATGATTTTAAAACATATCAGAGTACTTTACTTGGCAAAAAGCCAACCCTGGTAATGGCAATGGTATTTACACTCCAAACCATAAGGATATACTGCTGTTGTTCTGGGTCAAAATGAAGACGGATATATCATGGAAACAGTGTTCAACTCTTTTTAACATGTCAATTTCCACTAAACTAAAAACATTTCATTCCATAGTAAAAGCATTAGAAATAACCTTTGTTCCTTGGGTGTTAACATTCTGCAAAAGAAAATATTCTGAAGCACACCACTGTGCACTAAGTAGCATTTCTTGGCCAGTGGTACATATATCTTTATTCCTAAGAGCTCTGATCACAAGCTTCATAGAATCCTACTGGAGAAGCGAAACTATTTGAAGTTCGTGAGCATATCTCTGCCTGATAGTTACACTCTGGATACAGGACCTTTTCCTGGAAGTGATAATGATGCGAAGCTTAAAAAGAGCACAACAGAGGCTACCAATAGCACATACAAGCTGTTGTATTTGCTTCGTAGGTCAAATTGAAGCCCCATCTTTGATATTTCATTCAGACAAATATTTCATTGTTACATCGAGTAATTTTCCCCCAAACCTGCATTATATCTATAACATTTAAGAAATTTATCTCCAGAAAACAAGATTCAAAGAAAGGGAAATAACCCTACTGTAATCAAAATGACTCCTATACATTGACATCATCACCATACCACATGTACACGTAATAAACTATTACCCTCTGTAACAAATCTATACTTACTTTCACTGGGATCAATCGTACAAAATGGAAAGTTCTCAGCAGGGATGGAACTTTTGGTCAATACATTAAAAAATGTTGATTTCCTGAAATAAATAATAAATAAATTACTGAATAACTCAATAAATTTGAGTTTTATTTTTAACTAGGAATTATTATTCCTGTTTAATAAAAGAATAAACAGGAAAAACTGAAAGAATCTGCTATTGATACAAGCCTCACCAATAAACACAACTCAGTACTAACTTAATACACTTACCAGGTCCATTAAGTAGTTGAGAAATTGTGAAACATGATGTACAAAACAGACTAAATGTCAAAATCTTACATTAAAGATCATAACTTGGCAAATGACTTTTTGTTTCCCAATCAGTCTTAAAATGAAATATACACGATAAGGGACTGTGGGGAACGTAAAGAAAAAATCTAAAAACAAAATTCCTCATGTAAGTTTTAATATATACAGTGATCAATCTACACACAATTCCCCAGTCCTGTACTCGTAGAATTTTTCTGTGACTCATACCAGGTCGAATTTCTGGAAACACTTCAATTTTCTATTGTGGGACCTAATTTTTCCAATTTCTGGAAACACAAGGTTTTCCATAATTTATCTAGTAGTGGGCTGTGTAGTGTAAGTAGGAGGCTGGCTTGTCGTGTACTTGTAGTCGTGTATGGAACATTATTACGGAACTGGATTGGTGTAGGCAGCCAAATGATCAAAGTAGCCGGTCAAATTGGCTGGCAACCGGCTCTTATGGAAAACCCTGGAAACACTTCAATTTTCTATTGTGGGACACGATTTTCTCAATAATAAAGTTGAAATGAACTCATGAAAATAAGTTGTAGATTAATCACTGTATACATGGAGTAGCAATACTGTATAAATTTCAAATCTTAACAATTAAACAAATTAACAAAAACCTACCCTACATTTGGCAGACCAACAATGCCAATCTTGAGATTGGTTCCAAGACGACCTATTAGAGGTGGTATGGCTGAAGCCCCATCATCCTTTTTCTTCGGAGGCATAGTTCAATCCCAGTCTGCACAGGACTATCTCCAACTGCCAAAAATGATACAGATTTTAATCTTAGATGTATATCCTGAGAAAATGTAGGACTGTTTGGAAAGTTTAAAAAAAAAAAAAGCAATATTCCAAAATTTCTAATCTTAACTTCCGGTTGAGGCTTTGCAGGTTTCTTTTGACATAAGAAATTTGTGTTACGAACTGCTGCAGATGTAGAACAAAAATAATTTTATGTTATGAATCTTGTGACTGCTTGGTACTCAGGCTTGTTCATGAAAATGTAGTGTGACAGAACGATTTACCCCCATACACCCCAAAACTACCTAAAAAATACATCAAAACACACAAAACTACCTTAACAAATACCCAAGAACACCCAAAACTACCCCAACAAATTTGATGACTACCCAGCCTCCCAAATACTTCTCCTAAGCACTTAAAAGGTACCCAAAAACCACATATATCGCGGTTGCCACGTCCTGATGATGATGATGATGATGATGATGATGGAAGGGAGGTAACCTTTACAGGCTGTCACTGTTGATTCACAATATTTGTTTATATCATGTATTTTACAATAAATCCTTTCCATTTCAAATGAAATCTGTGAACCATACAATTTTTTTGGTTTTCATTTTATATACTATATAATGTCATCAATGAAGTAATAACGACAGTACGGACTAGTGAATTGTCAAATTTTTGAGGCAAGATAAAGGTATAGGTATAGATTTAGGTGTAAATAAAGATGATGTAAGGGTAGAACATATTATACCTTGACAATATACTTAATTCAGGGTAAAGATAGGAATAATTACTCATTTACAATACACCAGTTAACAGTCTGATAATGTTTCTCTGTCTTATTTATATCATATTAGCTTTCAGGCTTCTAATGGTGGAATAAACAGTTTGACATCTGTAGCAAACTCTACCTCCTTGCAAACAGACTTAAAGATATTTCATCAACAGCAAATAATTCCACCAAAATTAGCATTGACCAAGTCTCTAATGTCCTGATACAAAAACACACCTTTATACCCATATACAAACCGTGCAGAAATATGTGTAAATATATATATATAATCACAGTTGGTACAAACTGATATACAGGCCTTACTCCCAGCAAAGTATATTTGTTTCAAAATTGTGAGGTTTTCATATTACCTGGTATTCATGCTCAGTAGGCTAGTTTTAGTAAAAATTTCTGGGTTTTTCCGATCTCTGTCCTTTATGCTGGCTAGGTTTTTTTTAACCACAACTTAGTTTAGGTTTGTGAAACTCAAAATCATGATTTGTTGCATGCATTGTTTTTGTTTTGTTTGGAGTTTTCTTTAATTTCTAGAATTGTTTAAAAAAATAATTTTTCTCAAGATCAGATATTGTTACCCCAGTCATACACACATGCCTAAACCTATTGACTAGCCTGTCATGCCTTCTACCGTGCAAAGCTCTTCTCAAGTCTAACATGTAATTTGTAAGTTTTTCTACTAGGACTGGTAGTTTATGTTGCTTGAAATCTGCTGCTTGTTTGATGCAGTCATTCATAAATTCCGAGTTATTATTTGTCCATAAATCAATGTATTGCTGGATCTGTCCTTTTGTACTTGTCTTTTTTGTATGATTGTATGTGCATGGTTGACAACTTTATTATTTCAACTTATAAAAAGCACACTTGTTGTAAGCATGTAACCTTACATTTTCCTAGAAGGGTCTAACTGTGATGACAGGAAACTTGTTCATCCCTTCATTTGGGAATCGCCAAATTCCCTTTGAATAGCTGGATTTGCATGTTTTTGAAAGACAAGTGTGTTAAACTGGCTATCAAACCACTGCCTGGTCATGATGATGAATTGTTTTCTAGAAGAAGAATAATAAGATGATGATACATTGTGTATGTGCCGATGTTTTGTTAAAATCTTGCGGAATACAAAACAAACTTTTAAAACAAGTGTGTTAAACTTATCAAACCACTGCAGGTCATGATGATGAATTGTTTTCTAGAAGAAGAATAATAAGATGATGATACATTGGCACATGTGTATGTGCCGATGTTTTGTTAAAATCTTGCGGAATACAAAACAAACTTTTAAAACAAGCTTCAATGCAGTTCAAAATGTGCATCTTGTTGACCAACTTGCGCTCGCTTCTAGGCAGTGCCTATTTCATATCATATGATTATCAGCAAAAATCCTGGAAATATCAAATGTCATGTTTTTTCGCTTATTTCGTTCCTCAATGATGTCAAATTGCTCACCTCTTGTTTGATGGAAAGTATCTGTCGTCCGTATGAACTTAAATCGGGTTCAATAGACAAAGAGCTTCTTATTTCACTCTCATTGCACCATCTGGTGCCAGACTTGTGTGTTTGTCAAGATAGTGCACTGGTACTACCCTGCCAACCGGCAAAACGTGGTTTACCCAATATGGCGAAATCGCAACAGGAAATCTATATCGCCATCTACTTCCGGTTTTATTAATTACAGCCCAGGACTGCCCGGCACCGCCCGGCGTTGTTGGGGTAGCAGGAAACGGTTAATTTGCATTTTTTTTTCTGAAATTATTGGTCATTATTGAAATATACAGGTATAGCGGTTTGGTTATGAAAAGTACATCCCTACATGTATATATATTTATAAACTACATAACAATTACATTAATGGTAGAAGATAAAATTTGTGTAAATAAAAAAAAAATCCTCTGATTTCTTACATGTGATTGTCATGGTTACCAACTAAAAAATGCTAAAAATGCAAAAAATACTGCTAATTCCAACCTAACACTACAACTTTATAGAAGAAATTTATTTCTGAACACCTGTCTTAAAACCAACAACAATGTCACGATAACACACTACTTACATTTCAACAAATTCCAACTTGGAAATCTTTCATAACATGACCACATCTAAACACTATGAAAATTTCACTCCCTGTAAAGCTAGTTTTTGGTGCGTAGACACAGACTCAAGACTGCCCAAACAGTAATTTCTAACACAAAGCTAAAACGTTACTCCCAAAAAAATGTAACCCCACATTGGCCATTTCAACATGACAAGATAAATTTAAACAAGGATTTATTTTTAATTGAAACCTTTATAGTGGGGTAATCTAAAGAACGCATGCCAAGTTAAAATTGTTCTATATGCAAAAAATATTAGCAACATCAATATTATAGTCAAGATATTGTGTACATTTAAAAAAAATATATCATTATCAATAATTTTCCCATGAAATTATTGTTTTATGATCTACTAGTTTTTTTTTAGATAAATCTAAATGTTATTTTCCCATTGAAGGGAAATATCAGTTCTACTTTGTAAAGATGAAAGTTTTTTTTCTTTTTACTATTATTAGAGACTATTTTTTTTTTTTTTCAGGTTCGATCGGGAAACAATTAGTGAGTAAATATGTTTTACTCATGGGTAATTTAATAATGTAAGGTAAAATCTTATTCAGTAAATATTCAATTTTCATAATAATATTTATTAAGTTATTCAGTTTATCTCTGAATGGATAAGATAATTAATGCATATAAGTTTGGCAATACAATAACTCAATGATTTCATAATGATCGAGATTTGAAATCTGGATTAAGGAATGTTGATTTTTTAATCAATTGTATGTTTTCTGCAATTACAGTGTTCTGTATATAGACATTTGAATGATTCAATCATAGTTTAAAAATTCAGAATAAATGCTTAATTGATCGTTTATTTCATGATATATAATGCATCAAAGATTTCAATTCTTTTTCTGGCAGTGCATAATTTCATAATTACAATATATCAATAGTATTGTATCGAGAGTGTAAAGGTGAACAATCATACTTACATTTGACAAAAAGTTACAAAGGAATAAGTGGAAATCTATATGTGGTGTATCAGAAAATGAGACTGACCTCTTGTCGCTGAGTGTCCCTATACAGTGCACAGACTTTATGTCTGCGTGTACATTAGGACAATGAAAACGTTATAGTTATAATTTGGTGAAGAAACAGTTGTATACATAGATATTTGATGACAACTTAGATTTTGTTTTTCAGGTATAAAGCTTTTTGCTCTGAACACAATGTCACTACTCGATTGTGTTTCACCTTTACATTATACTTTTGTAGATATACATGATAAAATTATCACATTTGATCATGTGTGTATTTGGTAGATGCAGGAAGTTGCACGTTTTCACCAGGTTTGAATAATGGTCATTGCTCTCTAATTTACAGTTAATATTGTTTTTCCCATGTATTTGATACGATAGTTTCTGAATAACATGAGTTTCACATGGTAACTGACAATGTCGATCTTCATATATCTTAAACAGACATTACCATATTCAGATAACGGGGAAACACATGTGAAGCAATACATTTACCTTTGTTTCATCTGAGTTACTTCCCCTACCCATCCTTATACTATTGTGATATCTAAGCATATTACGATTAACTAGTATATACAGTGCATATGACAAATTATTTCATATTGTTCACATGAGTTACTCCCCCTTACAATAGTTATACTATTAGGGTGTTATACCATATCGTGAATTACCTGCCCCATGCTCTGTCTTTGTAATGAACTGCTGTTTTTGATAAGCTATTCTTATCACAACATTACACCTGTTGATGATCTTGGATGACGTAGCTATCACTTAACTCATTTACATAAAAAAAAACTTTTTGTATTTTTGCTGTAAGTTAAAATAAGTAAGAACACCAAGTATGTCTAATTGAATATCAAAGCTGCCCTTCATAAGCGTATGAAACACTGGTTCAAGAAAATCAAATGACATGTCCTTTGGAGAACTGTTAATCACACACTCTTTGATAATGACAACCTACAAAGTCCTTATTTATCACACTATAAATGTGATCCTGCGATTTCGCTAGATTTACATGTATAGAAACCTGATATAACCATTGTTCATGTATGTAAATGCTGGTTGTAGATGGTAACATGTATGTCTATTACAAGAAATCATTTTATCATACAAGTGTAGATTTCGAATATAAACAAGAGTTCTGTGATATATGATGATATGTATCATTCAGAGGAATTTTTATTCCTACGAATGTACTTGTGACATTTCTTGTTTTGGTTGCAGGAACATACGATTACCTTTGAAAGCGGAAAGTATGGCTAGTGAACCTGTGACAGTCAAAGTAGATAATAAAGTTTACTGTGTAGGATTAGTTCCCTTTATTGGGCTACTTTGCTCATTGTGATACTAAGCTCCTTGTCTTATGTTGCGTTTTAGATAAACTGATAAGCAATGATGAGACAGGGAGATACATTGGAGAGAATACACATTTACTTTATGATATTATGAAATTCACCGAAGAAAATTATGATTTTGATGGTAAATTTTGAAAAAACCATTCTGCTCCGTGTCTTGGAATTTCATAAGAAAAGTTTTAAAGTTTTTTTCAGCTTTGGCAAGGATATTTTGAAATGGTTAACACACTACACAATAATGTTAGTCAAGAATTAATCGTGGAGGGGGGGGGGTGTGATGGATTTATCTCTTAAAAAAAAAAGTCAAGATGACCCTGTAGCCATTTACATCTTTATTCTATGTGTCGAAGTTTTAGCAATTAGTTGAAGAAAAAACAATAATATTAAGGGAATTAGGACAGACAATTGTTAGATTCTGACAGCCCAATATACAGACAACGCTTTTCTGGCATAAGATGGACCAGTTTAATCACTCCGTGAAACTTTAAGAGAATTACATACTTTTGAAAATATATTTGGTTTAAAAATGAATGAGATAAAACGGAAATAATTTGTATTGGATATACGAAAAACGGTAATGATACCAGAATTCAATCTAATTAGTAATATTAATTAAAAAAACATACAAAAAAAAAAAAATATTTTATTACTCACATGATTGTAGATAACACAGGTTAAACAATACGCAAACAGAAATAAAATCCCGGTCGATCCCGGTATTGCAAACAACAAGGTGCAAGTTCATTGTTGCGATGTAGGTGATTTCAAATGGTAATAATTTGGTCATTTTAAAATATTTTTTGCATTATTTCTCGATTGTGATATTCATTTGATGTACATGGATGTGAATAAGGCAGATTTAACGATACATGAAAGATTGCAAACAACATGAAGCGAATGCATTACCATTTTTTTGTCAATATAGATTTTCCGGACGATGGCAGCACGGCGGTTAGGGGGAATAACGGACAGTCCAGGCTGTACGTCAGAACTTGTCTATATGTATTATAAATTGATTTGTTTATAGTTTGACCTTTACACTGATACAGGTAAAACAACGTATGTTAGAACTTGTCTATATGTATTATAATCCGGATTGTTTATAGTTTGACCTTTACATTGACACAGATAAAACAACGTATGTCAGGACTTGTTTATATGTATTATAATCCGGATTGTTCATATTTGACCTTTACACTGATACATATAAAACAACGTATGTTAGAACTTGTCTATATGTATTATAATTCGATTTGTTTATAGTTTGACCTTTACACTGATACAGGTAAAACAACGTATGTTAGAACTTGTTTATATGTATTATAATCCGGATTGTTCATATCTGACCTTTACACTGATACATATAAAACAACGTATGTTAGAACTTGTCTATATGTATTATAATCCGGATTGTTCATATCTGACCTTTACACTGATACATATAAAACAACGTATGTTAGAACTTGTCTAAATGTATTATAATCCGGATTGTTTATATTTCTGTGCATTGACAAACATGTTAAGATTAAAGAAATGCTTTAGTCATGACAAAAAAAAAAATAAATAAAAATAAATAAATAAATCAATATATCTTCGGGCTTCGACCTCTTTTCTATTCCCTTTCAAATATGTATTTATATTAGACATTTTAGTTCTTTAAACCTTACATCATTAAGATACATTATAGAATGTGTGAGATTGAGAGGAATTCCTAGCTTTGTTTACTGTTTATTGTTTGTTTTGCTTAACTTTTAAAATATTTTTCAGTCTCTTTTGTTTGAAAACCTCATCTCAAGCTTTAACTGTCAGGTATAAAGAGTTGCCTCCCTTTGGACAATGTATGCTTTTGATTCGTTATTTTCATGAATAATTCAGGAGAGTGCTAAATATATATATCATCTAGGAAGGAGAATGTTTCTGACGTGACTGTAACAGAATCATTGACATCAAAGTGTCATTGGAAAGTGAGGGAGATTTAAAGATGTGCTTCTCCTGTTGATTCATACGTTACTCTGTTAATAATTTTCCAAATGTAGTATTTTACAAATGGGTATACAAAACTGCAACTTAATCTTATCCAAATTTAGTGAATTGAACGTAAAATGTGACAAAGGAAAAAAATCAACAATTGTAAACATGTAGATTAACATCAAGCGTTCTGGAAGGGTAAGCGTCCTCTACTTCA